GAACATCAGGCACTTCTCTCTGCAGCTCCAGGCCTTGGCTCCTTGTACCCTGAGGGGGGCGACCCCCTTGGAAGCCCTAATCTACCTCATTTGGCTGGGGAGGATGTGGAAGAGGTGGTCTCCATATCATAAATTAAAGAAAAACAGGATCATTTGACAAAGGAAGTGCCTTAAACGTCATCACAATGCAGTCGTCTCTTAGGTCCCATTTTGTTTAATGCAAAGATGAGACAGTTTACAATTCACACTTAAATACAAGCACATTAAAAGTACTGGGGATATGGAGATCAGTCTCTATTTCTTCTTCCTCATAGAACTGATACTAACTCCCAACCCAAGTAGCCAAGGCAGTGGGCCTGGCACTGTTCCATGGGTCTGACCCACTCCACAAAGCTGCCATGTCTCCTTCCTTCCTCCACGTGCTCAGTTATTGTTAACACTGAGCTCCCCTCTCCACCACCAGATTAAGCTGGTGTTTACCACAGTGAGTAGGCCCCCAGTGCCCATCATCAACAGGCCAGGCAGTATAACTACAAACTTAACAAGTCAGGCATATGTCACTAAACCAAGCAAACATCCTTCTCCTCTCTTCCCCTTCCTTCCCCTCCCTTTCAAATATATTTATAAGCAAACAACAAGCATGCTTCTGGCTTTGATGCTTATTCTTGATGTTTATAGCTTTTGCTACCAAAATAAGAACACAGAGTAGAGGGTGAACACCTCCCTCACCCAGGATAAAACACATTTCTAGTACATAAATGATTCCTAAAAATCATGTCAGCCTGGAGACCACATCTAGTCCCCTATGGAATCACGTGGGAATTAAGACCCGAGAGTCAGAGCTTCTGCTTGTCCAGAAGATTCCTAAACTCTCAGGGCAGGACTATCATGGCATGCATTTTTGCAATTAAATAAATGAAAAGTCTCCACATGGACCAGCTCTCTGGAAGGCCAGCAGTGAGTGTCAAAGCTGGAATTGGAAATGACCAAAATAACCCTTCCACCTCCAACCCCACACTGGGTGCCGTGTGTGCCCAGTGTTACTTGGTGTTCACTGGTGTATTCCTTGGAGGGGCTTTAAGCACCAGGCGCTAGCTAGACCCCTGACAGCTCTGCGGTCACACCAAGGGCTGCCTATTGGCAGAAACCCACCAGTGAGTCAATCTCTTGTCTCCTAAGCATTAAGTGTCCTCTTGGCCTCCCTCAGCTTGCTTCCCCTCCCTAGCTCACTAAGGCTTGGAACAGGCTGGCTTTGGGGAGTGGGTGATCTAGCAGCTGGATTTCAGAATACCTGTGGTAGGGCGGGCACCCCATCCTGTCAGCAGGGCACAGAAACCAAACTCACAAACACCTAGAGCTCATCCAGAAAACTTAGAACAACAGGAAGCCAATGATATCAAAGGAGCAGTACAGCAACTGTGGGTCCAAATGAAATAAGGATCTTGATCCTCAGTAGCAGGGCCATTGTGTGCCAGCTGCTTCGAGGGGCCCTCAGATCTGGGGCGGCTGGGGCTGCAGTGACTCCGCAGACTGCGGTGGCAGTTCTAAGTATTTCACTGGAAAGAGAAGATGCCTGTTAGAAGGGATTCATTTCCATCCTGCTCAGAAGGCACAAATACACAAGTCAACCCCTGCTGGGGATAGCGATCTTGTTCCCTGTCTGTCCTGTCCAGAGGCTGAGGCAGCTCAGCCCCTCCTGGCCAAAGTCCCCTCTGGTGCCCACTCTGTCCTGTCATAGCAACCCATTTCCTCATCTGTAACATGGGAATGCTCCTGATAGGGTTGCTGGGAGGATTTTAAATAAAGCACTCGACACAGTACCTGGTCCATGGAACATGCTCACACAATGGTGGCTAAGAGTTTTTAAAAATGCTTATAGTGAATGCTACTGTAGAGTTACTTTTCCCATGTTTAATCCAGGGCTCTTTAATCCATTCAGTACAATACTGCCAAGTACCCATTCTAAGCAAGGGCATGGAGCACCCTTGCAGATCTCCACTGCTACCCTCTACTCCAGCCACAAGACGCACCACACTCCCATTTCCCTTTCTGCACCTACCCCAGCCTCTACTGAGGAAAACAGCCTTTCCTGACTACCCTACTCTCATTCTGGGGCCATAGGTGGTATCTACCCTGAGAAATTGGCCACGCCAGGCCAGCAGCCTGACATTATGCAGCCTTCACCGTTGATGGCTCCTGCACCCAGAAAGGGCTCCATGACCACTGAAGAGGGAGGCAGGGAGGTAAGGAGAGAGATGGGCTCCAATAATAGGGTCTGTGTTTTAACCAAGTTCCCTCTTTGCCTTTGGCAATTTTCAAGTTGAAAGTTTATGGGTCTAGGTTAAAAGATCCTCCATGGCTGTATCAGAATTTGTCTGGGAGTCATCTATTTTCATTGCAGAGGGTACAGGGGCCTGGGGCTCATGCTCAGATGACTCAGGAGCCCAGCCTGAGACCCAACAGTGCACTGAAGTTCTTAACATGGCACTAGCTGGCCCTGGCTGTGTTCCTCCTGTCCCTGATGGCCGTCTGATCAGGAGCTGAGTGGAGGGACCTCTGCAGCCCTGCAGCCCTTGCTCTGCCTGGAATTCTAGAAACAGACACCTCTTCACTTCCCACTTCCCTAGCACAGTACTGCTCAGTGCTGGGCTCACCAACTAGGAGACTTTTAGCAAGGAACACTCACCAAAAAGTCCTTACCTTCGGGTTCTTCACACACAACGGTTTCCAGGTTCTCTCCTTTCGCATAGTCTGCATTGAGACCTTCTGCAAAGGGCAAAGGGCAGAGTTAGTGGCTGACACAGAACCAAAGGCTCTCTTAGCATGATCAAGCACTCCTGACCAAGTCCTCCATTACAATTAAAAAAGCACAACTCCCAAAACAGACTCAGACCCTGCACCCTGAGCCACCTGAATGTCCTTGTATGGGCAAAGAGTGGCTGTCTGGGAGTGTGCCGCCTGCCCAGGAGTTTTCATCCTTATCCTCAGAAATGATGACACTTGGCAAAGGCCCCTGACAGACATCCCCATCCCCATAGGGCAGATGCGACCACATGTAGATTGTGGGCCAGACAGCAGCTCTGCTCAGCAGAGGGGGCACCCATTGGCAGGGCTCGGTGTCACCCATGGGTCCATATGCTGGCCCAGGGGCCAGGGAGGCAGAGAGGGAGCCAAGCACTGCATAAGTAACAGATAGATGCCAAGTAGGGAGGGGCAAATGGCTGAGTTGGACTCACTTTGGAGATGCCAGTAAAGCCTCCTGCTAGTGTATGGTTTTCCCAGCAACACATGCATGGAAAGGCCAATCAGCTTTTCTAGGCAGTGGGGATAGCACTGTCCCCACCCTCAAGGATGACTGCCCAGACTGGACCTCCACCCCTTCCCACACATCCCTGAACCCAGCTACACCCAGCCTAGGGACAGAAAGTCTGGCAGTTGGGACCCTCCCACACATATCAGGGAAAGCTAAAGATGGTTATGGTCACAGCCAAGTTGGAGAGTGCTAGGGAAGGGGATGGGATAGAGAGTGGTGAGAAGGAGCAAGAGCAGTGGGATGGGGAGGGGGACACTGAGGCCAGAGCAGAAGAGGAAAATGAGTAAATCAAAGCACATTGTTACCTTGACCTTCTGCTGCATCTGAAGGCAAGACACAAAACTTAGGACCCTGGAGCAAGAACTCAGACAACAAAGCACACAGGCTTTCTGTAAGACATGTTGGCCCTTGGCACTGTGGACAGAGACAGAGGGAGCAGCGGGTCCCTAAAGCCTGAGCCTTTTTGATGACAGAAATACTGGAAGCCCCAGAGAGCCACAGTGGGGACAGGCCATGTGCCAACCCTTGGGGCTTCCTGGTGCACCTAGTACAAAGTTGTTTCTGTTCTGCCTTCTCTGACCTCCATGCAGTGGTGACTAAGGCCACTCTGGGTAGAGGCTCACCTGAACGGCAGGGATGGGAGGTCCAGACCCCCAGCTTCACAGTGGGCTTAGCCACCCCACATTCATGGGATTCCTCCTGATTCTGACCCAGCCTAGGTACCAGCTACACATCGGTAGATGAAGCACATACAGTCTCGCACATACCAATAGTCCAGAGAGTGAATGAGGGCAGCAGTCACAGACATGACAACAAACCACCAAGCCTAATCCTGCCCTTTGATCTCCATAACAATAAGCAAGGGGTGCTATGGCCACATTCAGGAGAGGCATCTAGTCAGGCCCTCAGGCTGGGAGGGCAGGAAGGCTTCCTGAGATGGTAGCCTGGGCCCAAAGAATGAGAGCAGCTAGGTGAGGAGAGGAGGCAGCAGAGGGGATGCTGGAGACTACAGGGCAGACTCAGGGAAGTGAGTATGGCTGTTGAGAAAGTCTTCTAGGTCCAGGGCTGCAAGGGTCAGGAGGGGAATGAAAGGGAAAGGTTGTGACTGAAGTGGAACAATGAAGTGCTTTGAATGACAAGCTCAGGGGCTTGGCTATGACCTGGAGAGCAGTAGGGAACATGGGAGGTCCCATCAGAGCTGGCCCTGTGCATTTTAAGCAGGTTCCTCTGGCTGCTTCAAGCAAGAAGTGTGAAGGACACCAGGGCCATCAGGAGGCTGATAGAACCATTCAGATGGAGGACTAGAACTGGCCCTGGAAAGGCAGGGACAATGGTGGCCCAGAGCAGGGGGTACAAGCCCCAGGATTGGGGAACCACTGATGTAGGGTAAAAAGACAGGAGGATCCAGGAGGACTGGTGGAATCTGTGAGGGAAGGTCACAGAGACGGGGTGGAAACAACTTAAAAATTCTGAGGAGAAATTTGGTAGTACAGGGAGTGGATACAGAAGCAAAAGAAATCTTTTTCAAATTTGGGGGATACTTCACACTTGGCTCCCTTTTGTGTAAATCAGGAGTGATGATAGCACTTGCTCAAGTGTGTCTGGGTAAGGGATTCAGGACAGTGTAGGTTTAGCAATGACAATGACATCATTAAAAGATTGAAGGGGGGAAAACTGAGTCCAAATACACAGGTGGAAGGGCCACCCATACAGGGACTAGTGGGTGTGGTGTGAAGCCTGTGGCAGGGAGGGAAGCCTTCTTAGACTGGATGGGGAGGGGTTGGGGAGAAGCCAGTGGGTTCCATGAACTTCTTGAGAGCCACCATTAGCCCTACAAGCCCACTTTTCTCCCTGGCCTATGCCACTCTGCCAGCAGGCTCACTCTTACTACCTGGCCCAGAAACACCCTCACCTTGAGGCTGCCCCTTAAAAATAGAGGTCACATCCATGTCCTCCATCTTTGTTGCCACACATCTTTCAGTTGTCATCAACACTCCCTCTTTTGGGTTTATTCTTTCTCAAATATCATATAAATTACTCAATTCTACATACCAAGGCCTTCATATTTTCACATTTTATTTGGCTTCCCTGATAATCCAATTTGCAAAGCCTCATACCTGTTTGTTTTAGGAAACAAAATAATGTATTTTCATTTCACTTTAGTACCCCCACAGAGACAAACAGATACAACCCAAACAACTCTTTTTTGGTTTGAAAATCAACCTTTTTTCTCTTCCTTGTTTCTACCTACTGGCACTCCTTCTGGATTGATGGCTTCGCATCTGAAGTAAGTTCCTTCAAGAATCCTCTGTGCCTCCATTTCCTCATCTATGAGATGAAGGTGCACATCATACCTCCCCAATCGAGTTATGGGAGTTCTCACTATTTGGGTAATGGTGGCCCCCAAAAGATATGTCCATGTCTTCATCCCTGGAACCTGTGGATATGACCTTATTTGGAAAAGGGTCTTTGCAGGTGTAATTAAGGTAAGGATCTCAAGACGATATCATCCTGGGTTATCCACATCAGCCTTACATCTAATGACAAGTGTCGATATGAAAGACAAAATAGGAAAGACAGACACAGAGGGAAGTGCCATGTGGAGATAGAGGCAGAGACTGCCACGGGAAACATAGGGCCACCAGAACCTGGAAGACGCAAGGAAGGATCCTATCCTAGGGCCTCCAGAAGGAACCAAACCTTGCTGACACCTTGATCTTGGACTTCTCCGGCCTTCAGAACTGTCAGAGAATAGATTTCTGTTGTTTTAAGCCACTCAGTTTCTTTTATTTTGCGCTGGCACAGGGGAAAGCTCTAAGGACAATCCAGCCTCCAGGTCTGCACTCTTTCTGACTCTTTTTTGTTCATACCGCTCTACAGCCAAGCTTCTCAATCCCTGGTTAGTTGACAGTATCTCAAGTAGGGAGACCATGAACAGTTGTGCAGGTTGTGCATTGAGATGTGAATGGTGCCAGTAGAGTACTGTGCACAGCTTGTGTAGCTGTATGTGGTGGCCCTGGTCAAGAATGTTGTATAAGAGTAAAAAAGAAGCAAATATGATGGCCAGATGAAAAAGTAGTTGTAAACTTTAGCAATATCCACATTCAAAGCATTCTGGGACTCCAGTTACTTTTCTGGTAAGCTCAGCTCCTGGCTAGAATTAAGGGCAGAGGCCTAGAACAAGGGTAGAAGAAGCCTCATAGGGAGTGATCCTAAGCTTCAAGAAAGAGGAAAACTACCATTGAGTCAGATTATGTCATTTGAACTAAAAATCACCAATCTTAAAGTAGAGACACACTCTAAGCAAACAGTGACACATCAACGCTGTGCTCATAAAACCAAGTGTAGTCTTTCTGTTCACCCTCAACAGCATTCCCACAGGGCTCCTGACATGGGGTGCCTGACAGCTTCCAAGATAGGATTCCATTTGTAACACATCTTTAAAGAGCCATGGCATGAAGTGGGAGCATCCTAGGTATTACAAATCTAGCATGTAAAGGGGGGGGGG